GGAACTTTTTGAAATGATGCTAGACATGTCTCACTCATAAAATTCGTTGATGAAAGTGTCTCTTTTCAACAGAGCCAAGACATCGTAAAATATCACGTAATTCTAGGCGAGCAACTCTTTCCTGAACACTTGGGCAATGGACTTTTTAAAAATACGTTTTTGGGAAATGGCTCTCAGATCATGTTTTTTGTGGACACTGATAATCAGGTATTGCACAACCAACAATAACTCGTATTCTGTACAACACTTAGATGAAATTAGTCGTGACTAACTAGTCCTAAACTACAGACAATGGCCAATGACGTTCCCATAAATGGAAGCTTCATTGAGACGAGGCATGGCACAGTGTTCAGGATCCCACGTGTCTTAGACCTCCACAAGAACCACTGCAGTAAAGATGTGATTTTAAAAATTTCTGTAAGTTTCCGTTGAATTTTTCAAGGTGAATCTTGAAGTGACGCAACAGACAATGTTAAGGAACGTTTGCTGTCTTTGCAGGGTCGCTGTGGAGATTGTAACGCTGAACCAAAATGCCTTTATAATGCCAAACCTGTAAGATGATATAGTCCTTTGATGTTTTAGTTTAGCATTTATGTGAAAGGAATTTTATGATGCATCCTTCTCCTCGTTTCTTCAGCTACAACCAAAGTTCCCTCAAAATATGAAGTCAAATTGCAAATACAGGACAAGAGTTGGAAAAAAGAGAGTGAGTGTGCCGGGCTGTCACATGGAATGTTTGAGAACAACTAAGGTACTTCATTTTCTATCTTCAAAGATTTGGACATTTTTACTACGGTTGGGAAATGAAAATTCCATAGTTGGATCCGGTTGTATTCATTAAATTCCTTATATTCTTTCTTGATTTCAAACTGACATTGCTCTATCCACACCTTCAAAACAAATCTAATGAATTCTTGTTAAACCATTTGTTATTATTCAGGTAACTATAAACATGTTGATAATTTAACTAACTTGCTCCTCAAGACATCCTTCAAACTGTTGCTCCATCTTGACAGTCATTGATCTGAAAGAGAAAACTAAGTATAGAAGAAGAGTTTGTACCATTCTCCAATCCCCAGTTCCCACTTGTGGCAACAGTGAGAATGCAAGCCGTTCTTGCGCTCTGAACATTACAAAGCATGAAATTTTGCAGCTAGAAATGCCTGCATTTATGTATTTCGGGCCAGAGTGTTGTGTTTTGGTATTGGGTTTACACTTCAGTTTACAAATCCAGATTCTGAGCTGATTCAGATTCAAATCTCACAGTAAATTTATTCCTAGGACCATTCTTGCTGTCCAGGATACTTTGGGCATGATTGCTCCAAATGTCCTGGGACTGTGGATAACTGGTGCTCCAACAATGGTCAATGCAAGGATGGGCTGTTTGGCAGTGGGGAGTGTCTCTGTAATGAGGGCTTCCACGGAACGGCCTGCGAGATGTGTGAACCTGGGCGATATGGAAAAGACTGCAAGTCTGGTAACATCAATGTGCAATTTGCTATTCTACTGTCTTTCTGTAGGCATTCTGTTGAAGCATTTTTCAACAAACCTTTGGCTTTCATTTGACAGAATGTCATTGTGAACATGGCAAATGTT